GGTTTAAGAGAAGAGATGCGTTTGGGGAAGTTTTCTTAAAACTTCTTTGAAACACGAAAATATCTTTAACGGGCTAAGGGCGTAACCCGAGTTAATTCGTTCTATTTGTACCGGCTGAGAATTCAAAACAGCTCGGTCTTTAAGCGGTTAACTGAGCACTGTTTGGCCAACATTAAAAGAAAAATACGCATATATTTTTCAGCTACAGTGTAATTGCTTCCTATAGGCCTACTGTGAGCATAGAAATTTCTTGATAAATAAAACGAAATCGTATTTTCAAACGATTAAACACCCCCAGCTGTTCTGTATTGTTTCTGTATTTTTGTGTATGGAAGATAGAGACTTCCTACCAGTCACTATGCAGCTGATTTCACAATGAAACCTCGAGGTGTTGATCGGAAAGAGGCAACAGTCAATTGTTGGTGCGAGCAGACGTTACGTCGGCGGCCAGGTATTTGCCCTTCGCCAACTATTCTTGCCCACCTCGGGAGCCAAATGGCGCGCATCCAAAGGAACTAATGAAAAGTTCAAGAATGAACAAAAGCAACCTTGTCTGTTTTCGCCTTATATTCGTTTGATTCCGGAAATAAAAGAAAACGGGCGATGCGGCTGTGTATTTGGGGCAGTATTCTTATTTTTCGGCGCAAAAGAAGGGCAGGTATGAAATATTTATAGGATAAAACAAGGCGATTATAGAAATCATTACGTGAACCGTTTACCTGTTGCTTTGTTTGAGTTCCAGGGCACTGAAGCGGTTTTTTACTTTAGGTTGTTCGTTCTTTAAGTTATCTTTTAATATTAGCGACTCTTTTGAACCATGTATTTTACAACAAAAAAGCGTAGTCTTTGCAAAAATAAATTATTTAAAGCGTAGTCTTTGCAAAAATAAATTATTTAAAGTTATAACGTATATATATATATATATAAGTTTGGAAACTGATTTTGCCAGTCAAAGCAATGGACACGAAATGGTGATGATGCCGACCTTTGTATGCTTCGTGTAGGATTGAAAATTCGCATAGACAACAAATAATTCCTTGTATAAAAGGAATACAAAATGCTCGTTATAGAAGAATATCAAAAGAATAAAATAAAAAAAAAAGAAAGAATTCTCCTGCAGCCTTAATTTTTGCTGCCATAAATTGACTTCTTATAATAAAAATTTAAAGAGTCCAGCTAGAATTTTACTTTCGATTTTTTTTTCTACGATACTTAATTAGTTGCTTAAAGTCCCTCAATTGTTTATTCCTAGAGTATTCCATAATTATACAAAATCAAAAATTAACTAAGACTGCAATTTTGAGTAGCAACTAATAATGAGTACTAAAATGACTTTGGGAGTTGAAGTTTTACATTTGTTAAGTATTTATTTAACAAATCCACTAAGATGTATTGTAAGAGCTCTGAATAAAATTAATAATTAATTATAACTAGACTAAATGATACGCATATAGCTACGAGTTTGTTAAACAGCTTGTAAAACGCTGATTTGGTTGCCAAAAACTAAATAATAGCAGGTTTGCAAACACTTTAGATTTTGTTAGTGCGCTATAATGAATCTTAGCAATTTATGTTTCCTTTAAAAAAATGTATTGTAGTTATTTTATTGCACGCGCACGCACGCACACGCCGCTGCGTTGTGCGGATTAGGCAGTTTAAGAATAATACTTGCCTGATTATAAATTTTACAAAACCTGATAATAAATTTCGCAAAACTATGTATAAGACTATTGGACCATATGAAGCACTCTTGGAATTTCTTTCATTCATTCTTGTGTATTAAAACTTTCCTTAGTGACGATTTCATATACATTTAAATGGAAACATACATATACATACATACCTTTAAATGAAAATCTCAGAGCTAAGGTTGTACCTATTATGTTTACTCAGCATTTTTGTGAATCTCTATCATATGCTACTATCGAAAGTAATTAAAATTTCATAAAACCATTCGCCTATGTGCCATGAAAATTCTTATTTAGAAAATTGCTGTTAGGAGGTACAAAAGAACGAACTTAACAATTTTAATAAAGTTCGTAGCAATAATAAAATTAGGTTCTTTGGTCTCACCGGTGTGTTGTACTCATATAATGAACTCCTGAAAGGACTGCTTGTACTTAGTTTACAATATTGTATTTTGTATTGTATTGACGGTTGGTCACCTTAATATTAACCCTCCGTCAGTCGCAAGATCTAATAGGTCGGAACTTACAAAAGAGAGACTGTCCTCCCTAAAGGAGGAGGACGGTTGGTCACCTTAATATTAACCCTCCGTCAGTCGCAAGATCTAATAAATCAGAACTTATAAAAGAGGGACTGTCCTCCGTAAAGGAGGAGGACTGTTGGTCACCTTAATACTAACCCTCTGTTAGTCGCAAGATCTAATAGATCAGAACTTGCAAAAGAGTGACTGTCCTCCCTAAAGGTGTGGAAACAGTGGCGAATCTGGGATTCTGGTCTGGGGGGGGGGGGTGGGGGGCAAAAAAACTTTGTATTGGCATGATGAATGTCAAACCTCAAGGCTAAAGTAAACCAAAACTCTT